CCCCAAAACCCCAAAACCCCAAAACCCCATTAAGTTGAATTAAGAGATGATTGATTGAAAGTATAATTTGATTGGTTAGAATAATTATTAAAGCAGGAAATAAATTGAGCTGATTAATATGAACTTTTAATAAAAAGAAAGTTTTGACATAAATTGAATATCTTATAAGAATACCAATACTTTTGCAGCCATGGAATCGCTTAATAAACCACCATTAAATGAAATGATTAACACAAATACTATATCTCTAGAAAATAACCAGAAATTTATGAATAGTAATCCTGAAGAAGAAAAATACTCGATGAAAGATCATTAGAATAGTGAAATTCAAATATCAAATACTCGAGGCGGGTTTTCTGATGTAACTGATGTGAATCCTAATGAACCTGGAATAAACACAGACTACAAGAATCTTGATAAAGAAAATAAGCATAGAGAAACGTTGAAAATCGCAGTTGTGGGAAACGTGGACTCAGGTAAATCTACTTTAACAGCTGTACTCTCTTGTCCAGCAGGGACAACCGATGATGGTCGAGGCTCTCTCAGAGAGAAAGTCTTTAACTTTGGTCATGAAAAAGAGAATGGCAGGACCTCTTCTATTGCTCATGAGATCTTAGGATTTGATGAGCAGGGACAGCAGGTTATTCCACTCAAAAAGGACATTTTGACTACTAAGAAGAAGACTATTTGGCCTGAAATCGTTGAGGGGAGTTCAAAAGTTATTTAGTTGATTGATCTCTGTGGACACGAAAAATATCTCAGGACTACGATGTTCGGACTTTCAGGTCTGTATCCCCAGTACAGCATGCTAGTGGTAGGAGCCAATATGGGAGTATCAAGAATGACTAAGGAGCATATTGGTATCACTATGGCTCTCAAGATTCCAATGTTTGTCGTTGTAACCAAGCTAGATTTGGCTCCTGAGACTGTATATCTAGATACTGTAAACACTCTGAGCAAAATTTTAAAAGGATCAGCTTGTAATTTGAAACCGATACTTGTTAAGGATTCAGATGACCTTGACAAAATTGCGGAGTTTATGCCCAATAAGACAATATGTCCTTTATTTCCGATAAGTAATGTGACAGGCCAAGGAGTGACAAATTTGAAATACTTTTTATCAAAGTTGCCTTATTTTGATACTTCCTCAGCGTAAATTGACAAGGAACTTTCGGATAGTCAGATTGATGAAATCATTGAATCTGAGCTAGTTATTGATTCAGAATATAATGTCAAGGGAGTTGGTTTGGTTGTCGGAGGTACAATAACTAAGGGAGGAATTGTCATAAACCAAATATTATACCTTGGTCCTGATAAAATTGGTTAGTTTAAGGCAGTTGTTGTAAAAGGCATTCATGAGAACAGAGTGGAAGTCAATAATGCTTTGAAAGGTCAAACAGTTTGTATCAATATAAAGAGTCTGAATAAAAAGGAGCAGAACTTAAAAGTAACCAGCTTCAAAAAAGGTATGCTCTTAGTTGGAGTTACTTAAAAGTGCTTGCAGAATACTTTAAAGAAAGGAGGGCCATCTGCTTCTCTTGAGGCACTCTGTGTGAGAGAATTTGAAGCTGAGGTTGTGATCCTACATCATTCAACAACTATTCAATAAAATTATCAGGCTGTTTTGCACTGTGGAGGAATAAGATAATCTGCCAAGGTCTTAAATATAGCTGCAGCCAAGTAAGACTCTGAACTCTTAAGAACAGGAGATAAAGGCTTAATAAGATTTAGATTCATGTATTACCCTGAATTGCTGAAACCTGGTTCAACTATAATGTTCAGAGAAGGGAGGACTAAAGGACTAGGATTTGTAACTAAAGTGTTCTCTAATAAGTGAGGATTAATATATACAACTTGAAATAACACGAGGAAATCTTGTTTGAATTTACTATTATTTGGAATATTTAATCATTATTGTTAAAAATTTATTGCAAAAATAATCTTTTTGATTTATCAATAAAATTTCGTAATCTAGCAATTTTAAATTGGGGTTTTGGGGTTTTGGGGTTTTGGGG